CGTGTCGGCAGTGCCCGGCGGGAGCGTTGCCTGGGTCCGGCCGGGAGGCAGTCCCAGGTTGCGCCGGCCTTTCCTCGTCCGGGGAAGGCGTCTCGTCACGATAAAACACCGCAGGGGGAAGCTTTGCGTAAAAAGAAACAAAAAAAACCAAAAAAATCCGCTGCATTCATGTTGGGCCTGTTTGATCAGAAATATGATCACCAAAGAAACAAGTGAATTGGGTCTCGTCAAATCCTCTCAAAAGAAGTCTTGCAGCTCTGCTAGCTTGTTCTCTTGCCCAATGGGGAACCTGTTATCCTATTTAGGATAATAGTTCTTAGCTTTACTGCTAAAGTAAACTCCTGCGCTCAACAGCAGCCTGCCAATAGCCATCACAGCACTTATTCCCTGCTGCCCCAGGGCATGGAGCGAAAGGTAGTGTCTTCAAAAGGTTGGTCCAGACAAGCTTCTACCAATGAAACTCTTTTCCTTGGTGCTCCTCAGGTCTGGAGCTATAGCCTTACTTTCTAGATAATTACGACAGTGCAAGCATACAGATGTACAAAATAAACTTACTCATTCTTGCTTCTTTCTTACTACAGAATTATTCTTTACCAGGTTTGTGGTTGCGGTTTATAGCCTTATCAGCTTGAATTAACTTGATGTTTCTTTGTGCTTCTACATTTAGCAGATATAAAAGGAGGAAAACATTCTTGTAGTTCATATCTATCTGGTGGAAAAGCTGAAAAAGATCAGAAATAAATCTTCAGTAATGTTAGTGAAGCTGTGAATTAACAGCACCGTAACTTATAAACTGGCTTAGAGTATCAGGGATGTCCATCTGAGTCTATCCCTCAGTCTCTAATTGATTAAGTTGTGGGGTTTTTTTTATTATGGTTTTAAGCTTTTTTTTCTTTTAAGCTTTATGCTCAGGTTTCCTGCTGTCAACTTTGTAACAAAGGAAACATACCTAATGTTTAAAAACTTAAAAAAAAAAAAAAAATAGGGGGGAATCTTGTTTGGTGGTACTGGAATCCAAGGACTGGGTAGCCATGGAAACTAGCATATCTTTTTAATTGTAAAAAAGGGGCTGCTTTGGTTGTGGGGTTGAGAGAATGGCGAAGCCTGGGCATATTTGGTTTGTTGCTTCTGCCTCCTTCTACAGGTTCTGGTCATACAGCAGAGGCTTTCGGTCTATAAGACTGTTCCTTCACCAGCAATAATTTGTAGGAATAAAGAATCAAAAGAAAAAATGGTATTATTAAGCTCTACCATAATATCTAGACAAAGTTTTTAAGTCTTTGTATTAAAAACACTTTAAAAGATATGGTATATATTTTCTTAGTATGCGTATAGACTTCTGCAGAATACATGTATGTAAGTATTCGGTTTTTAACATTTAGAAAAAGATTTTGAGATTTTTGGCAGTTGGAACAATGAGCATACCTGACTTTGTCAAATTTTCCCTCTGAAGAAAATAGTAGGATAGCTAATGTAGTTCCAGTTTGATACACTAATGCATTTTAATTAGGATGCATGCGTATTACAAGCATCTGCATATAATTAAATGAAACCATAAGCGGCTACTGGATGGGATAATAGATCATAAGCTCTGTTCATCAGCTTTCAAAGTTTCCTGACCAAAAACATCCCCTGAAGCCCTAGTGCAGGCAGTAGTTAAGTAGCATTCTCTCATGTTGGGGTAAGACTGTTAAGGTTAAATGAAAGAGGAACTTAAGTACATCAGCATTTTCTCTTTAAAAGACTGAGGGGCCTTTCATATGGTCTTTCAGCCAGTGACCTCAAACACCGATTTCCTTATGGTCTTGTGCTTCTGGGTTTGGGATCCTGGAGTCACCTGGCAGGGGAATGTTGGCAGTATCCTAGGGCAGAAGACAACAATATATTGATGAGATGTAACGTATGTGTTTCTCCTCATCTCTTTTCCCAGCTTAGACAGACCATGACAAAGTTCTGTCAAGAGCATTTGGCTCCAAAGGCCCAACAGATTGACCAGGAAAATGAATTCAAAGGCATGCGGGTAAGTATTTCATGTGTGCATTTACACAAAAATAGATGGTAGTGAAAGCCTGTCTGTACTTTGATCTGTACATTAGTCCAGAGAAAAAATCCCAGTCCACACCACAGGAACATATGCATTAACTTTTCAAACTTGAAAGCGCTAGAGAAAACAATTTTTTGATTTCCTGTGTTATCTTTTGTTAACCACTTTCAGCAACCCGGGGCAGAACCCAGCCAGCATGCAATTTAAAAAAAAAAAAAAAAAAAAAATTAGTAATGGTCTTGTTTGGATTCTTATCGTGGTATTTCTGCTTGGCTCTGTTCAGACTCCTTCTCTAATATGTGCTTTGTATTCTCCTGGCTAGGACCCGTTTTTGGACATCTGAGTTTCCTCTCAAATTTGTTGTGAAAGTATTGTGCGCAAATGCTGAAATGTAGAGTTGTTTGACTGTTGAGCTGAAACTTGCCTTCCTAATAAAAACAGTAAATTCTGTGCAACAGGATGGTTTGATTGATGAAAATGAGAGATCTAACTATTGGTTTTCATAAGCTCCACAGGACTTAAAAAGCTCAGAACATCTGCTAGGATTTCCCAGAGCTCTGATGTTGACATTTTCAGGGATATATGCGCAGCTTTGAAGTTAAGTATATAAATTTAGTCTGGCACACCAGATGTCATCCAGAGCTATTGAATAATACTTTTTGAAGTCTCTGAAGACTATTCACTGATAATTATCTTATCGCTGGACACTGAGGCTGTGTGACAAGCATTCACCTGTGCATCCTCGTGTAGTGGAGGAGAGGCTGCAGTCTGGAGCAGCCGCAAAGGGATGGCCCCTCCAGCATACGTGTGGTCCTCGTTGGCGACGTCCTTTGGTACTGCATTATGTCATGGCTTCCCTCTTACTCTGTGATGCCATGTGCCAGACACAGCTGACGTGTTTGTCTCAAGTCAGCCGGCAGCTCTGTGCCTCGAATGGTGTGGCTGTCACTTGAGTGGTGGTGTTGCCAGAGTGATAAATCTGGGGAATAGGCAAATGGAGGAGTCGGCGCTCAAGGAGGAGAGCTTGTCCTCTAGCAGATGAACTTTGTAGCATACGTGTCCAGCTGTGCAAACTCGGTAATGCCACCCAGTGCCCGTGCGTGTCTAGTGTCCTGGCAGTCTTGAAAGCCTGCAGGTTGTGTACTTGAGCGGCCCTTGTGGATTCAGCTCCTTTAGCTTCACAAGTCCAAATTCTCTGTGGAGGTCACCTTTTATAACTTTTCTATACCACCTGCAAGGGGGGTAGCACTGCTGTCTGCCCCAGCTGTAATATTCCCTTTTTTTAGTCTTTCCCAAGGAGACTTCCTTGGCTTTACTTCTCAGTTCCTGGTTTACTAGAAGAGTTTTAAAGTGCGAGCTAGGAGCAACTCTTCTACATATTTCCAGGGTTTCAGTCATGGATAGCTTATGCTAACGGCTATTTGCGGCAACCACAGGCTGATAGGCCTACCAGTGCTGCCCAAGCACAGTGACAAGGATGTGTGAGGTAAAAGACAAGCATAAATTTAAGTCATAACATCCTAAATAATCTTTAGCAAGAGGTAGTGTATGAAAGTCTAGAAGTGCAATTTTTTAAAGTAATGGGAAGTTCTAATTCATCAAAATTCTTCTTAAACTGGGCAATGAGTTAAATCTTAGGACCTGTCCTTCCAGAATTAAATTTAGGTTGTGAATTTTCACTGAATTTAACAGACTACTCCCATGTGTAGCATAACTAACGTCCTTAAGTCTGTCTCGGTTCTTAGTCCAAAGGGTGGAGCTGCTGCTGCAGGAAGAGTAGGTACCGATGTATTTATCTCTGAGGTATCACAAGAATAAGGTAAATTGATGTGTCCGGTGAGCTACCTGCGAAAACTTCTTATGCCCATGCCCTGACTGCGAGTCTGGACTGACTGCTTGTTCTGCATTTGTAGGAGTTTTGGAAGAAACTTGGGGAACTGGGAGTTCTGGGCATCACAGCTCCAGGTAAGGCTGTTCCTACCTTTTACCTTCTGCTGGGTGATTCTTCAAACAAAAGAGAGACTACTTACACTCACCCTTTCCAGTTCATAACAGCCTTGTCTGTGATGTGACATCCATTTTGTCCAGAAGCTCCTATCTTCATATTTTTTAAAAACTCTCTTTGGCAACTTTTTTATTCTTCACTGAATCAAAATCCTTTTTCTTTGTTAGACTTCTGGATGATTACAAAATGCCTTTTACGATTTAAAAGTACTGTTCAGAAATGGTTTCTCCAGATATAACATATGCCACTCGAACATGTTCACGCTTCTCTAATATGAAGCACTTGCTGCAAGTTTTGAAGAACGAGAGCTATAGATAAAAGTATCCTAGAACAAACATCCATCTCTAATGGGAGAAGTTAGAGGGTATAAAACAATGCTGTGAAAAGCTGTGATAACTAATGGAGAGCTGACCACATCCAACCAGTCAGAAAAAAATCAGGGTAAATCTTATTCAGCCTTGTCCAGGTTAGTTGAAAAGTGTTTTGATTAATGTTATAGATTACTAAGGCTGCTATGGTCATGCTGAATGCACTAACACAGTGTAATGAGGAGAAGCCCTTAGTGGAGAAAAGCAGCCAATGGGGCCTTTATTTCCCCATCGTAAAGTCTGTGTTTCTAGATGTGCGTATGCAAAGGCTTCTGCAGAAGCAAGCTGAATAGCAATGTGTTGAAATAATGCCTCTGCATTTCTTTCAGTGGCACTGAGTCTGCTTGAAAGAGTCTGTATTTCTGCTTTCTTTCTCTTTACTCTTCCCAATTTACTGCTGCTCCTGTTTTTTCTCACTCTTACCTTCTTTCTTCTTTGATGTTGTGCCTGAGGCTTACAGCAGTTTCCCACACTATAAATAAGCCATCCCCTCATGAGTCCTGTCCTTTTGATTTCCTCAAAGATTTACCTCTAAAACCTTCCTGTGCCCAGAATTTTTTGCCTTATTTTTGATTCTATGACTATGTGCAGTTTCTTTATTGGCATTGGTTTTGTTGTAAGAGGTGGAGCCTGGGATTTAGGATATGAAGATAATGTGAAATCTTATGAGGGCGTACGCTCAATTAAATGGCATATTTGGGCATCAGTGGATCAAGTCTATTAAGGGAGCATTTTAAATAACAGCACTTTTTGTTTTCTTTTTAGAACTTAAGAAAACCATGTTGGTTTGATGTAATTTTCCATTTATTTTATAAAGAGCTAAGTTAAGAGATGTAAATATGTAGCTACCATGGAACGATAATACAGGCATGTTGTACATAAAGAGTAATTTTGAAAGGGCAGCATCACTCTCACTCACGCTATGGTTTGTATTATAAGAGGAGTTGTCTGGCAGGATTGTTCTCTTGTACCTCTTGCAGTACAAGGCAATCATGGGCCAGTACTGCTTACAGCAGGCAGTTACCTTTCCTTTCTTGAGGCAATAGCAGCAGACCCATCTGTTCTGTAGGAATGAATAGAAAACTCTCTTGTTTTGGCATATATGAGAAATTGTTAAACCCATCTTTCAGGATACTGATAGTAAAATGCCAAACTCTGATTTGTAGTAGAGGTGATTTCAGAGGATGAAGAGCCCTGCAGATAAAGACAGAAGTCAGAATGAGCGACATGGGAGGAAAGGCTGCATCTAATTAGTGGCTATTGTGTTAATTTGACGAGTTAGGGGCAGTAGCCCTCTCTGAGCCCAGGTTGTGCACCCAGCTCTTTGGTTGCTCAGAGCATACAAACATATTTGCTCTTACCATTGCCACTGCTGGCTTGCAGCATTCATGTGATGGCGAGTGAGTGCTCCCGTGTTACCTCCCTGACTCGTTCGCAGTGTTCATGTCCTCCTGTTTTAGTTCTTATCTTAGCAGTACAATCACTTGCTTCTTGCCTGTAGAACAAAGCTTTTACTTTGGGATGTGACTGTATTTGTGTGTATGTAAGTGTGTGTGTAGGTATATATATGTATATATTTATGTAGGCCGTCAGCTGCTCAAGGCCATTATGCATTTCTCAGCCTTCTCTTTTTTCCCTGCCTTCTCTCTCTCCCTGTTCTACTGTGTGCCTTTAATCTTTGCCACCGGTTTTAGCCTCAGCTCAGTGTGCCTAGCTAGATTCCAGTTACGACGATTGTGCTGCTCTGTCTCACTTCCTCTCTTGAAATCCACATTCTTGCCACTGGTGAATTACAGCCGTTACATTTATGGATCATTCTCATTCTGAATCGGCCACCCATCAAAGTGCTGGTCTCCTGCGTATTTGTGGGCTTAGAAAAGTCCCTAGTGCCCCACTTTTTGAGCAGTTTGAGGATTCCTCACTTGTTTAGGCGTCCTTGTTATGATAAACATGCATGGACTTTACAAACTTTGCCTGTGTTCCTTTGTCCCCTCACCTAATACAGGTTGCCACTTTGTGATTTAATCTTCGTGATAATATTAAGGTTGCACTTAAGGATGGTTGACAGGAAGGACTCACTGTTGTGCAAGTGTCGGTAGCCTGTTTTAGATGTATCCTTATGCATGTTGTACGTATAAAACTATGCTGTACAAGTAAATTATTGATTATGCTGAAGAAGTAGTATCACTGTGCCTTTAAGATAAGAAAACTGAAATTCAGAGAGGATGCGGAAAGCCAGAGGTGCCCAGCTCAGTGTCAGTCAAAACCAGAAGCTCTCTTGTAAGTGTCTTGAGTCTCATTCAAGGCTGAGTTTGACCCTGGGATCTTGTGCATGTGTGATACACTCCATGGTGGTTGACGTGAGGTTTCTCCTCTCTTTTCAGCGGAATATGGTGGATCTGCTTTGGGGTATCTGGACCACGTGCTGGTGATGGAGGAAATTTCTCGTGCATCAGCAGCTGTTGGGCTTAGTTACGGTGCCCACTCAAACCTCTGTATCAACCAGCTAGTGCGTAACGGCAATGAGGCCCAGAAGAACAAGTACTTGCCCAAGGTGTGTGGCTGGAAGAGTGGGAAACTGGAAAGCATTTGGGTTTTGGCTGCATGCAAGGATGAGTGTCTTTCATGGTGTGTAGCATTTTAAGCCCTAGCCGACTTCAGTCACCCAACCTTTAGGAAATACTGTACTTGCCAAACTTGCCCTTCGCTAGCTTGTTAATTTTTGTCCTATTAATCCATATTAACTTTTGCCGAGGTCCATGTCTGTAGGCAGCATAGATTTTTGTCCTATTAATCCATATTAACTTTGGCCTGTGCTGAGGTCCATGTCTGTAGGCAGCATAATCCAGCTCACTGGAGCTGTGTTACTAAATGAGGCTTTGAGGTGACACTGGATGATATTCTTCCAACTTCCCAAATTGTTTTGAGATTTCTGAATGAAAGTCGCTGCTTTCCTATTTTATATTCTCCATTTCTCACTACCCAAATGCTTCGTTTGCCTATGCTAATTAACTACATGTGAAACTTCATCATTTGGGGCATTGATGTTTGTGACTCAAAAGTATGTTAAACAGATTTCAGTATTTAAATGCATGGAAAAACTTAACTAGTACATTGAAACCCAGCTACTGAAATTATCAGCGCAAGAAACTTGATTTAAACCACATGCAAGGTACAGTGTCACTTCTTCAAAGCGTTGTGCAGCCTGCTAATATGTAACCGTGAATTGTCCTTGTTGCTGCTCAGGTGTACCTTTAATGCCCTCATTCGCTGCCTTTCAATGAGATGTGCGATCACTTTCGTTCTTACTTGTCTTGGTTCCTGACAGTACTTAATGGTACTTAACTACTTTTGAGCAGATCACAAAGACTTCTGTGGAAATGCACTGATGGATTGAATTGGTTGAACATATATCTTAAGCATTGAGCCTGTTTTTTAAAAAAATAAGAGATCAAAAGGAGGAGAAGATGGATAAAAGTACACAGGGAGGGAAAAAAAAAAGCAAGGAGAAAAGGGCAGGATGAAAGCAACAGTGAAGAGGAAGCAACAGCTCTGCCAGAACCTGGTATGAGCAGGCACAGAAGGAGGGTGTCCATCTGCTATTGTAGTGTGAGTGTGGGGGGACCGGGCTATGAGAACATTGCTAAGAACTTTGCAATCTCTTTTTGTCCCCGTCATTGGCCTTTTGTGTTTAACAACTCTTGTTTATGTAAAAGGGCAGTCATAAAGTGCAGAACAAGGAGCTTGTGAAAGGCATATGGCTGCCTGCATGGTTCTTTTGGCACCTTCCTGGAGGTGGTGTTTTATAAGCAGACACGAGTGTTCATCTAACTCAGACACGAGTTGACTCATCCTTCTCATCCCACTGTGATTTGGTTCTGTTCCCTCAGCAGAGCAGCACAAGGAAGCTCCCTGCTAGGACTCTGCCAGGAACAGCGGCTCTCATTTGCAGTTCTTGCACAGAATAGCTACTGTGGAGATTCAGTGCAAAAAAAAAATGGAAGGCAGGCTAGAGAAGGAACAGAAACAATGCTACTATTCTCCTTCCCTTTCTTATATTTGTCTTTTCTTCCAGCTAATCAGTGGGGAGCACATTGGAGCCTTAGCAATGAGCGAACCCAATGCTGGATCTGATGTTGTGTCCATGAAGCTGAAGGCAGATAAGAAAGGTAAAGCCTGTCATGTGCTGCCTGGATAGATAGCCGATGTAAATAATGTCTCCTGTAAATTTAGACTAACCTTCCCAACACCACTGAGATACGGTGCTTAGTCTTGGGTATACCAGGCCACGTTTGCAGGCTTGTGCTGCCTCCCAGGAGATTCAATATGTGATAAAGCCAAGTGGTGAAGGTACAGGGTGGACAGCTGAAGGTCTAAAGGTGGACTTCTGGTTATGGTGGTAGGGGTTGGTGGCATTATGGAACCAGTGCTAGGTGCCTTGGTTTGTCAGGCATTTGTTAAACTGTCTTTGGACTGCAGAAATGAAGGAAATAAGTTTTCTTGAACTTGGGAAGGATTTGTGCATGCTGTTTGTGGGGTCTTAAAGAACATTCTTGGAAGCTTGTTTTGAAATAAACAGACTGAGGATATAGGTGTTGCTCTGTTGTCTGTTGTGAGCTAACAGATTGCAGCTCTTTGCTTCTAGGAGACTACTTTGTTTTGAATGGGAACAAATTTTGGATCACCAATGGGCCAGATGCAGATGTTCTCATCATTTATGCTAAAACTGACATTAATGCTGTTCCAGCCTCCCGAGGTATCACTGCGTTCATTGTGGAGAGGGTAGGTTTAATAATTCTCACAAGCTTATTGTAGCGTGGTTTTGGTTTTTAAAACTAACTCCTTCATCCGAACTGGCTCACTTAGAAGCCAGCTAGTTTTCTTTCTGTAACTGTCAGCCCCTTGCTCAAAGGCAAATGCTTCCCGCCTGAATTTTGTAAACCTGTGAGATTAGTCCTCTGCCCCAGTGACACGGCATACTGCACTGTCAGCTGGGCACTCCTGGATTTTGGTATCCAAGCATATAGCCAGTCTTTTGGGCTAGAAATGTGGAGACAATGTACAAGGCTCTAATATAAAAGGATTTGCTTGTTGCCAAAAATTGTCAGAGATATTGGAGGCCTTGTAAATATGTCCTACTATCCCATTATCTAACTTTGTGTTTTGTTGGGTTTTTTAAGCCAAGACATTAAAATAGCTCTATTCATTTCTTCCCCTCATTTTCTTGCGCTGCCCCTTTGGAATCCTGAAATGATTGAAACATGGATGCAAAGCAGAGCAGGCCAAAGGGAGCAGAAACAGTCTGTTCAACGGGGAGCCCTTGGAAAACAGGAATCTATTGGGTTTTTTCTTCCCTTTTAATTATTTGAGGCTATGCTATGCACATCTCTGTCACCGCAAGGAAAACAGGAAGCTGTAATAAAATAGATGGTACTGGAAATATAAAATCTCAGAGATCAGTAAACCTTCTGATGGACTTAACCTGACTTAGCGATTAGAATAGTTCAGTTACTGGCAGGGCTTGCAACTCTTACTCTAGGAGAGTCAGTGTTGGCAGCTGTCCAAATATTTTATTTATTTAACATTTATGTGCATTAGAAAATGGATGCACTCGGTTCATATGTGCCCCCACATGTGCATGTTTCTCTGCTCGTTTGCTTCCTCGGCATTTGCACTTACACCCGTTCGTGTTCCCAGAGCGGGCAGTTCACTTTGACTCCTTTCTGCTACCTTACGCACGTTCATGTGGGCAGGGAAATTTCACAGATCTCTAGTGATTTTATTTAGTCTGTCAGAATTGAGATTTGAAATGTATTTTTACTGTCTTGACTTTGCAGGGAATGCCAGGTTTCAGCACAGCCCAGAAGCTCGATAAGCTGGGAATGAGAGGGTCTAATACCTGTGAACTGATCTTTGAAGACTGCAAGATCCCTGGTGAGTTGGGTTCAAATCATGGCAGTATGCATGTGGCGGTTTCCTGTCTTCTTGATCAGATAAATCGGATCACTAATTACATGCGTGTTCAGACTGTGACCTAGAGGGCTTTGCAGATTGTTATCTGCTCTTTGGCAGCCTCGCAAGAGAGCTGGTGAAACTGGAAAAGTGCAATCTGCTGGGTTGCAGTGACTGAGCGCATACCTTGTTAGGTCACTCCTATTTCACCCTCATGGACCTAACTCTTAACCACTGCTTCTGCAAAGCCTAGGTAAAGCTTCCAAAGAAACTTGTTTGTGACCATTAGAGCTCCCCATCTTGTATATAGGAGAGCTTATTTGCCTTGAAGTGGTTTTTTTCTCCAAAATCACTGGAGACTATCCAATAGACTTTCGGTTTGCCTGTAGTTCTTTTGGTTTCTGAGTTCTTCTGGGGTTGGGGCCTGAAAATGGACATCCTTTCCCCCATTAGTTAGTATTAGTTAGTACAGCAGGGGCCACTGTAACAGCCATTTTTGTTATTCCAGTGGCCGGTTTTTTTGATAGAAAAATTACAGTCTCTTTATAGCAAGTGGAGGAGATGCCTTATCGGAACTCATGAAAATCCTAATTGCATATCTGCAGAGCAAGTAACTCTCCTGCTCCCCATACGCCACCAAAAGCTGCTTTGCAGTAAGTGGAAGAGTTTCAGCTGCAATCTGACCTTTCTAACTTTATTGGAGGCCTCCGCTCTGAAATCAGAAAGGCCAGTGCCCCAGTCTTCAGATCATCTCCTGGGTAATCATCCGTACAGAACAGCATGTTCTCATGGTAACGGGATTTCCATTTTCTGATAACTCAGAGCAGCACATCGCTGCAGTGTTGAAAGCTAACACACTTTGCACTCTGGCCATTAATGCCACTTCTGATCTTCTGCCTTGGAAGCTGAACAAGTTTGATGGCATTTCATGTGTCTGCAGGATCTTTCTCTCAGATCAAGATGTCCTCTAGCACTGCAGTACCATCCACTTTAAAATACGTGGGTTTCACTGTCAGCCTTGCTCTACTGAGTGGCTGGTGTTTTTTTTCATAGTCCATGGATTCATTTGGTCACGTTGCATTGGTAAAAGTTGGTTCAGAGCCCCAACATTTTTTTTTTTTTTTTTGCTGTGATACGCAGCCAGCAGGTCTGCCCCCCTTGTGCAGTCAGCATGCATGTCCTTCAGCTCACCGCATCCCTATCCATCCCTTTTCCCTGGACGTACAGGAAGGTGTTCAGGCTATTTAGTCCTTTTTTAGCTGTGAGATGTCATTACTCATGAACACCTTTGTCACTTTATTATTACTGATGCTGGCGTTTGTGTTCTGTTCTTCAAAGTAATGTTTGCTATTAGTATTTTTCTTTCTTGTCTGTGGGACTTTTGAGCTTTTTCTCTGAAAGCCAAGCTTCGTTCTTCTTCCTCTTTCTAGCTCCAATATCATGATGATGGCCCTGCAGAGGCTGCACTTCTCCATATGCCACATCAGCATGCTTTTCAATAAGCAGAAGACAATGCGGTCCATGAGCTTCTGCCACTGAAAAAGAGATTATTTATTTCGGGAGACTATCTGCATGTGTCCAAGTCCTGTCTCATTTTCACTTTGCGTATCACACCTCTCAGATCTCTTGTGATCAAAGCCTGAAGTATGTGTCAGTCTCCTATATGGCATGATCAGTGGATAATCTCTGTCCATCCACAAAGCACAGTTGTTAGGCTCTAAGCTCTCTCCTGATTGTAAGAGTACAGCCTCGCTGAGATGAGCCTTTTGTTCCTGCTTCTCTTTTTATACTTGTTAACGTCAGTGCCTGCTTTAAATTGTCCCAAAGTGAAACGGTTTCTTGAGGTTTTTTCTCAGCCCATTATCTAATGTGGCTATTTTCCTGATCCATTTTCACAGAAATAATACCTGTCTTTTTAAAATATTTATTTATAACAACTGCAATGTTCTGTTCAGCCCCCCTCACAGAAGGGGAGATAGGGACTGTTCGTATTCTCCAATCTCAGAAGACTAATATATATCACTCCAACATGTGATGAGCACTTTGACTGCTTGCCTGTGTAAGCTTTGGTTCCTGTACTGGGAATGCTCAGCGGTGTGACCCAAGCATATCAGACCAGGATTTGCATTCATTTCAAATACACACTCAGCAGACATCAGCTGTAATGCTGTCACTTTGGGTTAGATACAAACTAATGGGATGGTGAACGGGGCTCCCAATTCATCCTCCCAGGCTATTAAGTCTCCTATTCTTGTTGGTACAAATGCTGAGCTGGAAGATCTCTGGAGAGCACCTTACTCTTTAGAAAATAGGCAAGAGAATAGCAGCGATTGTAGATGCACTTTATAACCCTTTACTACTTTTTTCTTTTTGGCTTTGGTTGGATTGAAAAGACGTTTCAGTGGGAGGGAGTGTATGTATCAAAGCTCAGCGCCTGTCTAGCTCATCCTGAATGTTTGTGTCTCAAGCCAAAAAGAAAGGTGAATGGGGCTGAAAGTTTGAATCCTCTCCCCAGCGAACACAGGCCCTTAGACAACAGCTTATCTTAGTTTTTCACATGAGCAAATCACTTTCCTTTGCCGATTGCAGCTGAAAATGTCTTGGGGAAGCTGAGCAAAGGAGTCTACGTTCTGATGAGTGGACTGGACCTGGAGAGACTCGTGCTGTCTGGTGGACCTCTGGGGTAAGGGTTTGTCATCTTTTGTAGATTGTAAGGCCAGAAGGATCCTTCACAATCACCTAGCCCAGTGGGTCTCCAACCGGGCTTGCAACTCTCAGTAGGATGCATCTTGGATGGAGAACTGAGATACTGGGGCAGCTTCTGAGGGAAGAGGAAAGGCTGGGAGGAGGAGGCTGGTCAGAGCTGTGGGAGGGAAGCAAGCTGCAGAGGAGGCAGGAGCAGGGAGATCCATAGCTGCTGGCTCCTCTAGCTGCGTCGTAGCTGCTCGCTGCTGTCATGGACTCCTGCTGGAGGGAACTCAGCTCGGCTCTCCCAGGCAGCCACGGCTTGCTCTGCGTGTGCTCCACCTTCTCCTTTAGCTCTCCGCACCTCTCCACTCCTCATGCAGTTTTTTTCAGTTTGAAAGCATCTATGTGGAACGTCCTCTGAGGGGCAAGGGGTAGAAGAAGCAATGCCAGAAATAAGGTTTACAAACCTCTGCCTTCCAGCGTAGCGCAGGCCACAGACCCTCCAGAGCATGCTTTTGAAAATACTAGTCTTGACATAAACATTTCCAGAGATGGTAAAGATGCCTTAGTCCCCAGTTGCTTGCTTGTGTATCCCTACAGTGTGTATTACTGTGGGAATAACCAGCTCATTTGCATTACTGATTCCTTAAAATCTAAAACGCTATCCAGACTGTCACATAGAAGGACCACTGGACTGGGTAAAGGGTTTGTTCTTCATTTATTCAGTCCTTAAGCTCCCCAGTAATTATTTTTACCCTACAGTCCTTTTGTCCTCCGAGGTGGTCTCTCTGCAGTAATCTTCATGTGGAAAGATAATCTTCCACAAAGCAGAAGGAGGATTTTTCACCCTTCTTGTTCTTGCTTACGCTTTTTTATGGCATTGGCTGGTACTCCTTGAGTTGGTGGTCTCTGGAGATGCAAGGCAGCACAAACTGTCCTGGCTACAGATGTAAGAAAGCTCTTCAACTCTTTGTCTCAGTCCCCTGAATTAAGAAGGTTAAGGCCTTACCACAAGATGTCCCAAATGAGCAATATGTAGAGCGCTAGGGAGAAAAATGGGACCTTTGGATTTTATTCTTAGCATTGTTTGAGTGGAGCTATGGGAAGACAGCAGCATATCATTTTAGGTATGAGAACCTTTTTGCCTTAGATTGCACTTCCAAGGTTTAATTATTATTAATAGTTCTGTTGTTTTCTTTTTCCTGCGTATTTGTGCTTTCCTTAGGCTCATGCAAGCTGTTCTTGATCACGCAATTCCATACCTACATGTAAGAGAAGCGTTTGGACAGAAAATTGGCCACTTCCAGGTGAGGCAGAAAAGGAATTAGACATTTTTGTCGTCTTGCTTTTCTCTTTAAAAATGAGAAGACAAAGAGCTCTGTCATGGGAGGGCTTTGCATGGAGAAGGTTGCCTGGAGTTTGTGCTGGGGCTGCAATGACGTGGTGAGAGGGTGAAAGGATCTCTGAGCCTGTTTACCTGGGGCACTGTTGGCGGGTGAGGGACTGCGGCTGACATCTGGGAGTCTGTGAATTGGCAGGACCTCCAGCTCCCTCATACATGTCTGCTGAATCCATGGCTTCTCATTTGTCTAGTTTCTCTGAGATAGTTTGGGGAATGGGTGATCCGTGGTGCTCATGCAGAAAATAATCTTCCCCTCGCTCACGTTAACGTCTCTCTTGCCTTCTGCGACACGCAGCTCATGCAGGGCAAAATGGCCGATATGTACACACGGCTGATGGCGTGTCGGCAGTATGTCTACAACGTGGCGAAGGCCTGCGACCAGGGCCATTTCAATGCGAAGGTGAGCTCGCTTCCACCTGGCCTGCATCTGCTGGGGGAATTCCTTTCCCTTTGGTCTCAGATCGTGAGCAGGGTGGAGGTTCTGTACTGGGTCTCACAGCCCTAAGTGCTTCTTTTCCCCCAAAGAAAAAGAAAAACAGATTTAGCAGCATCAGTAGGTGTTTATTGGAAACCCAGACACAATATCCTGGCTATTGCAAGGGGCTGTAGCAGTCATTCCGAGGTGGTGTCATCTCCACAACCGGCACTGTCACCACACCTCTGTCGAAGGAGGGGACCGAGTGTTTAACAGTGGGAGCCCTGCATCCCAAATCAGACCACATCGGTCTCCTGTGGGTATGATGTGCATTCGTGAGAGATCGGCTCCCCTGCTGCACCTTTTTTTTTTCCTTTTTTTTTTTTCTTTTTCTGTCTTCATGTGGCCTTTACAGACCTGACATTAGTGTTCTGTAGTGACAGAAAGACTGCTGCAGCTTCTTGCTTGCTGGGGAATGAATCCTGTGCCTTTGTGATCAAGTATTTGAGGCTTGTTAGCAGATGTCTGTAGAGTCATGGAAAGGTCAGAGCAACATGGAGACTGGAAAAGGGCAGGTGACACCTTTGCTGACTCTGTCATCATTGTGACTCTCCTTTAGGATTGCGCTGGAGTGATCCTGTATTCAGCAGAGTGTGCTACCCAGGTGGCTCTGGATGGGATTCAGTGTCTGGGTAAGTCGCTGGCAGTGTTTGTTCCTTTGAGTGATGGCTGGAGAGAGCCAAGAGTGGTGCTCTCTCCCATCCCACCCTCAGCCCCTGAGATCAGAGAGAAGAAATGACTTGTGACTTCTTTTTGGTTGCAGGTGGAAACGGTTACATCAATGACTATCCGATGGGGCGTTTCCTGCGTGATGCCAAGCTCTATGAGATAGGGGCAGGCACCAGTGAAGTGCGCAGACTCGTCATTGGCAGGGCGTTTAATGCCACTTTTAAGTAACAACCACCAGTGGAGCGGCAGCACGAGGCCTTTGACCAGAGAGGCTGGAGCGCACAACTCTTTCTTCCTGCTTGTGATTCTAGGATTGTCACCAGTGGACCCATTTCTGCCTGCTCTGTGAACAGATGCTGCTGGACTGGGCTTCGACAGAATGAATCAGACCGTGGCATGGAAGGAAAAGTAGTTTCTTCCCTTCTTGTGATCATCCTGATTCATCCTGTTCATAAGCCACCCTGATTCTCAGCCTTACAGAGCGGAGGTTCATCCAGGGGACATACTGCCATCGAAGCAGGCTGGTGAGCTGTATGCCTGGAACAAGAGGCAGCCATTGCTGAGCACAGAAAGTCAACCCCCCCCAAAAAAAAAGGACAATGAGGGAACAATTTTGTTCTCTTAAAAAAGAAAAAAAACTGAGTGCCATTAGATAGCTAGCATTTAGCATAGCACCACTGGAAGGTGAAATTTCCCATTGTTGACCTTCCGGTGGGATTAATAGCTTCCATTTTGGGAACCCGACGCCAACCACATCATGGGGGTGGCTGTCATGAACACTCGAGCATCATCAACGCACAAGCAGTGTTTTAGGTGATAATTCCTAAAACCTCATTAAAATAACACATCTGTTTCTTTGCATACTTCTTGCTGTTTCTCAAGATATTTCAGTGCAGCCCCACGTCTTTGCTGCTCTGATTGACTGCCTCCCGCTGTGTTATTCATTCAGAGGTGTCACCATCCATCATTCCGGGAACAGTTAAAGCGTCAGACCTGTATTGTGACATCCATGAATGAAGCAGGCAGGAGGAGGTTGACTTTTTCAGTTGGGGTTATTTGTGTTTTTTCTGAAGGTTGTTCTTTTGGCAAAAGCCTGTACTCGCACTCCACCTTCGGTTCGCTAGGAAGTCAGAGTGAGCGCAGCAGTATTTGTGGATGTTTTCAGTGCGTGTTACATACAGCAAATTGAAATTTACCTAGCTTTATTAAAGAAAATTGCACAGTACACTGCCAGCCTTAAAGAGTGAATCACAAAGAAAGATTGGATGTTGTAAATATGATAGAATAGTCAATTAAACAGTTGCCATGTAGGCAACCTCCCAGCAGTTTTAACAAAAAAGAGCTTAAAGCTTTGTGTATTTTTTTGGTTGTAGTTGACATCTGTCTATACTAGATGACAGTAGACCAATACAGAATTTTAAAATGCCACAAACTGAAGAAAAATTCCCTTTCCTGAATCGCCAGGTAGGTCACCAAGTGTTTATAAAAGTTACAAAACTGCACTTCATTGAGAGCTAGAAAGAGCTTCTGAAGTCATGGTGGTAGTGCCTTCTTCCTAAACTTCATGTTTATTCAGCTACGGTGTATGGCTGTCACTCTGGAAGTGTCCCAGGGTTTAATTTTCAGCCTTAATCTCTGGATGGAGGTAGCAGAGAGTGGACAGCAGTGGCCTGTCAAGACTATCTTGTTGAGCTGCACCTGGAAATGCTTTGGAAATGAGCCTTGAAGCACAAGTGAAGCGCAATTCACATGTGAAACACTAAGTGAATTACTGTACATTAATATAAGAATTTATTTATGTGACCAGACATTTATATTTCATTGCAGAATGATTACAGATGTCATCTTCTCCTGTACGTGCAAGTCACGAAACCGCTGCAGTTGCTACACCCCGATCCAGTGTCCCGTGAAAGACCAAGGGCAGGAGTTTTCAGATTTGCCCAAGCGATTTGGGAAGCAGCTTCCTGCTGTGCAGCCCTAAACTCCTGAGCCCTTGTCCCTTCCAGCACTGCAGGCGGCCTGTGTTTTTCCAGCAGGCTGTGGCCAGGGCCGGTATGCAGCGACCAGCTGCAGGGTGTGCTGCAGAGCTCATCTGCTCTCCACAGCAGCCGCAGTGTCTGTGTCCCAGTAAAATGGCAAATCTAACTGGAGGGGTGGTGGGAGCCTTGCAAGGGCAGTGAGGAGCACAGGCACAGCATCTCCAACGCGTATCGGAAATGTGTATTTTACCTGTATGTTCTTCAACTCTTCAGTACGGGAATGAATCACTGCAATTTTCCTTGAAGACTCTCAAAAGAACATCGGAACTGACTCATGGTGTTATGATCTGTCTCTGGCCAGAGGAGCTTCTTTAACGACTGTTGGAGCCGTGTCAGGATGTTGCGAGATTCAGATTGTTAAAAATAGGTTTTCTAAGCTGGAAGGGACCCACAGATTTTTAAACCTATCCTGTAGCATTGGAGAGGTCTAATTTTTAATACACATAATAAATAATGCCTTCACTTCCTAGGCTGATCGGCATCTCGGAGTTAAAGGTAAAATGAATCAATGTCTAACGCATCACGGGACAGGGTGGAGGGAGAGATTCATAAATCTTAAGCAGGGTTATGTTAACCAAATCTCGCTCACTTCCCCAGCAGCACTGCACGGGCTGCCTTGGGAAAGGGCTGGCTTTCCTTGCGTTGGCAGGTTTGACTGTGGTATAAAAAGAAGGGCTGGGGAGGGCTCTTCAGGGGGTAAGGGTGTTCCTACGATACTAATAAAACAAGGTTTTGCTGGGTGGCCTGTGCTCCTGTGGGGTGTTTCCTGGCAGAGGGCAAGGGCAGACCTTGTCTGGTCCCCGCTGCAGCCCGTCCGGGCTGGCAGCAGCAATGGGTGCAGCTTTCCCTCGCTGTCCCTCTTTCTTACCAACCACAGCTTTTTCCCCTAACTCTCATTTTTTTAAAAAATGTATTTATAGTGATACATCTGGGCTGTGCCTCAGGCCTCCTCTGGAGAGCAGCAGAGCTAATAGGGAAAAGGGGCAAGGGCGCTGTGCCTCTGACCATGATCTTAACGGTGTCTGCTGTGAATTTGTAATGGAAGTTGTCCTAGCCTGATCAGCCTTTGGCTGATGGCAGGGCAGGGTTAGATGTGCTGCACCTTTCCTGGTCTCCCAGATACTTGCCCTGTTTGCAGCTGGCTGGCTTCTAAGCAGAGAAAGCGTGGAGAGCGGAGGGAATTATTCAGGAAGGTAAACATCCAGTTTATTTTAGCGGTGTGTATAAAATGGGGGGATTTTGAATGAGGCAGGTTCATAAGGAAGCGTCTCACAGCTTATTGGGAATCCACAAATGCTGCCTGTCCTGGGGAAGGCAGGTCTGAGAGCCTGCACCCAGCGGTACCTGCCAGCTGAATGAGTTCTGAGGTGCTCCCACGGTTGTTTTGTATGTGTAAAGCATCCCTCCTGTAGCAGCTGGGTAGGTTTCACAGGTTTATTGATTTCTTGAAAGAAGAAAAACCACACTGGGTTCCCATGCTGAAGCTGCTGGCTCCTGGGGCATCCAGCTCAGGTGATTTATTTCTCGCTGTGTGCGATCAGAGCTGCTCTGCAGCTTGTTCCCTACGGTTGAACACCTGATGGAAGAACAGTCTGAGCGTAATGTCCTGAAGGGAGCAAAGCTCTGGCTTGGTTTGATCTCTTACAGGTGAATTTTGCAGCTGAAGGCATTCTGCTGAGAAACAGCTACACTTGGACCTGAGGATGTGCTAATCTCGGGCTCTCAGTGGGCTGCAGCTGCTGCAGCGGGGTAGGTGTGCGAGGCCAAGGCTTTCACAACAGAGAGCAGGTTCTTGAACTGTTTTGAGCACTAGAAGGGCAGGGAGGTCTGGGTCGCGCCCTCCCGCCCAGGGTTCCTGCCACGGATGCTACAGCTCTGCTCTCTTCTAGCTCCTCAGCTGTACAACCGAGCTGCCATAAATACTGACAGCATTTGCACAAGGAAACTTGTTGTGTGTCCCTAATTGATGCCCCTTTGCTCTGCGAGTCCTCTCTGGAGCTGTTTGCAGGAAAAGCCAGCTTGTTGTGGAAAAGCTGGGCTCGTGCTGAGCTACGACGCTGCCAGAACAGCTACCGAAACGTATTTGATGTAGAAACTCATGTCAAAAGGGAAGTGGAAGATGCAGCGGAGAAGACGGGCTGTAGCATCTCCGGTGTCCTGCCTCGTGCTTCTCAGGGCAGATGGGACCATGGCTTCTCCAAGCCGTGTCCAAAACTGGAGTTCAAACAGAGGCCCGTGTCTGTGGGGATGCCAACGGCGTCAGGGTAGTGTTTACTTTGTAAACACGCCAAGGACATTTGTTTTAAAATATGTCTGCAAGGTAAAACCTGCCGTGGAGGGGTTTGGCTGCCGTGAGACCAGCTGCGCTTTATATCAAAAACTATTTGCAAAGGGAGCTATGGTACGGTGTGGGGCTGGTGTAAAGCAAATCTCATCTCGTCTGGCGAGCGCAAACCACACCGAGCCGTTCAGGAGGTGGGAGAGGGACCCGTGTTTGAGCAGCAGGGGCAGGGCAGGGGTTGTCCCCGCTTCTCGCCAGGGACCTGTGTGGGTCGGTTCCCCCCCAAAAACCACCTCCCGAGTCCTGCAGGCGCTGCTGGGGCTGCCGGATGGGATTTCCAGTCTGCTGCGCTGCTGTGGGACCACCCCCTCGCTCTCAGCAGCTCCCCGCAGAGCCCCTGTGCCCCCCGCTCCATGCCTGCCGCGGGGAAGGGGGAGCCACCCCCCCGCTTTAGGGCCGCGGGGAGCGTGTGGGCTCGTGTCTGCGCACGTGTGTGGCAGAGGATGCGGTTTCTTGCCTGTGGGGCTGGTCCACGAGGGGAAGGGAGGCTTTGGTAACTTGTGGGGAGGGTGATGTTTCCCTCCTCCGCCGGGCTTTGCTGTGCAATTTCAGTACAGGGTGACACATAA